ATTGGCATTCGTCGATATCAGTGCAACTATTGCGAGAAGGAGAGAGAGAGAGAGAGAACCATTAAACTATTTACTTCTAACACTTTTACCGCAGACTCACTTTCGGCGATTCTCGTGCATAAGAAAGCCAAGATTGCAGGCGCACTCCTCACGCCCCTTCGCGGTGGTAATACACAATTGCTCGCAGCGTGATTTCTCGCCGCATGTGCGCGGATGGGGACAGTTCACCTCATCCTCTCCGAACGGACAGTCATTCTGCCCATCACAGACGTGTTTCTGATGCACGCAGATTCTGAAAATGAGGAAGGGATCTTATGTAGACAAGACATTAAAATTTTTGTTTCATTCATACTTCAAATTCGTGAAATTCTTTTTGGCGGGACACAAGAATTGACCAGCATCACATTGTAGACGGCATTCAACCTCATCTTCGCCGGAGGAGCAATCGGGATAGCCATCACAGAGCCAGGTATTCTGGTGTAGATAAAATTATTGATGACTAAATGTCAACATTTTTGAACTCTGTATGCCACATACCAATATACAACGTCCGTTGTTGCACGTAAACTCGTCCGATCCACACTTCGCCGGCAGTCCGGCGATCATACTGCCGCAGTCGTGCTCATCTTCGCCACCTTCGCAATCTTGTTCCTTATCGCATTTCCAGCGTCGAGGTATGCAACTGCCATCCGCACACTTGTACTCATTGGAAGTGCATTCGGAGGGCTTCTGCGGGCAGTCCTCTTCATCACTCCAATCGCCGCAGTCGTTGTCACCATCGCAGTGAAAGCGATTCAAAATGCATTGACCGCTGGGACCGCCATGACCGCCACGGCACTTGAATTCACCTTCCGGACAGCGATTGAAGACCGCCGGACACTTTAGCTCATCCGAGTTGTCATTGCAGTCGCGCTCACCATCGCAGCGGAAGGCGATCGAAATGCAGTAGCCGTCATTGCAGGTGAAGTGTTCGGGAGAGCAACTAAAGTGTTAGAGAGAGGAAGAGATAGGGAAACAAATTTAATGTAGGCTAAACAGCCAATTTTAAAGCGAGATCAGCAAGTAAAGGAGTTTTGAACACGCGTTAGTCGCACAGACCACAAATGGAAATGGGTGGTCTGCGAAGGATGGTCCATGCATTTTACTTGCGCATTTATTGGTGGAAAATACAGAAAGTTGGCCCTTTCTTACCTCGTCCGATTGCAATGCGCCTCATCGGAGAAATCCTTGCAGTCGTTTTCGCCATCGCACACCCACTGTTTGGGTATACAAAAGCCATTCTGACACTCGAATTGCTCCTCGTCAGTGCAATTGGTACGCGCACCGCAATGCGTCTCATCCGAATAATCGCCACAATCATCGTCGCCGTCGCACAGCCACTCCTTGTTAATGCAACGATATGTGCGCGGACACATCACATGCATGCCCGTTTGTTCGCAATCCTTTTGCAATTTGTGCAGCATATCGCCGATCACTTCACAATCGAACTCATCGGCGCCATCCTCGCAGTCCGTATTCTTGTCGCAGCGCGCATGCTGATCAATACAGGTACATGTTGTAGGACATTGCCATTGCATTTCGCCGCACATATTCTGGCAGGTATGCGCGTAACCGTCATTGGGACTCAGCAGACGCGGCTCGTCGTGCACCAACGAAACATGCGGCCGAAACACTTTCTCCTTGTTGTGCAACATATTCATGTAACCCTCGCGTCCGCGCGTCATTTCACGCCGATCACCGGATTCGCGCACACCATAGAGATCTGTGCGACTGCTGCCGCTGCGTGCGCCAATATCACGGTGACGCGGTGGTTCACCATAAAGACCAGCGCCGCCGCCATTATTTTGCGATGCAGAATTCGCTTCATGCGGCGCCTGCTGTGACTCCGTGGTGTAGAGTTCGGGCGCATATTGGCCGAAGTACTCGTCATCGGGATGTTCATGCGGAGGGAAATCAGAGGGATGGAAGCTGTCCTCGTCATTTTCGTTTATATGATGTTGATCGTGTGACTCCTGCGGCTTCTGATTTTGCTTGCGCGATATAACACCACCGCCGCCGCCGACGACACCAGCGCCAGAGCGGAAGAGGTGCTGCGGCTTGTGTTGTTGTTGGAGCGCAATGCTGTCGCGCATAAAACTAGAACCCAGCAGCTGCCGTGCCGAGCCATGCTTGACTTCACTGTGTAAGCCAGATATGCTTGGCCACGCCGATGTCGTATCGTCACTCGCACCTAGAGCTGCGAATGGAAGATAAGTATATTTTAAAGAAGAAGAGTGACTGGTGGCTGGCATGTGTTCTGAATAAAATTTACAAAAGAGGTATTTAGTTGATATCGAAAAAGCGGAGGAAAGAAAGCTTCAGTTCATTAAGTTGCCTGCTTGGCGAATTTGCTGACTTTAGCTAATTTAAAATACGTATCCGCGTCATCCTACGTGGTTTTAATGAATGAAATTGGAGCTTTTATTTAACGGGTGTTCATTCAAAAGCGCATTGAGTTGTTATTGGGTTAGAGGTTAACAGTGGCTTGGCATGAAAGGCGCCGCTGTGCATTTCAACCTTTGCTGTGCTGCTTACATGCATACATACACACATACACATGTGGCAGTTATTGGCATCCAATTGTGTCGAATGGTGTTGCGAGTTGCCCGTTCTACTCTTTTTGGGGTGTTTATATAGGAACTACTAAATAGGAGGCTGCACTTCCAACACGAATCTATGATTATTGGTATGGTTTGCGTTCCGCGCATGCGTCACATTTTTATGCACGACTTTCACTTTTCGTTTCTTGTTGTTTATATTGTTTTTGCCATTAATGTACTTTGTTGCTGCTGAATGGGAAATGAGGCGGACAGCTGAACTTTGCCGAAGCAGTCATTCATGATATAAGCCCAAATAATTATCGTTGGCGCGCGGCGTGGCTACATCGAAATACAAAAATATACAAAAGTATGTTCGTGATTTCAGAGAGCAGGCCAGACCGAGCGAACATGAGCGCGCACGCATAATGAGAGTGCTTGCGCCGCAGAGAGAAAGTCTTTCCTAGTTAGGTGGAAACTTGCGAAGTTGAATGAGAAAAAGTGAGAGTGAAAAGTAAATTTGTCAATGAGAAAAATTTCCACACAAAAAAGCTTGCAACAGAACCCGTTGCTCGTACTCGTGAGTGCGTGAGTACTGTGGAGAATTTCGGCACACAAACAGTCTGCAAGGAAATTGGCCAACCAGCGTGGGCATGTAAAAGTTTCCACAGGCATTGGCACACATACATACATACTCTACCTAAGCAAGCATGTATGTATGTATGTACCCTGCAGTAAACCGCTCTAGTTCAGGACTAGCGCAGAACTAGCTCTTTAAAAGGCGGTGCTGGTTATCGACTATCCCAACGCAATGCCTTCAACTGTCTCTTTTTACATGGGGATGTCCTATGAAGGAGGAAATTGCCCCCCTCTGCAGAGCTTTCAAACTAGTTCTGAACTGGTTCCATTTTGGACAGATCTGCGTCAACAAGTTTTTTATGTATTTAAAAAATTCTGATCATTCGATTTTTTGATATTTTTTCGTTTTTTCTGTTCTTCTAGAGATTGAATTATATTAAATCTTTATTTATTCTTTTATTTTAATTACATATATTAAATTTGACCATATTCTCTTCAATTTTTAAGTGGTTCTCAACCATTTAAATTTATTAAATCTGAAAATCACAACTGCCTCCACCGCGATTTGAACTCGTGACCAACGATGTTATAAAAGCCTAGACAGACGGCAACGTTGATTCGGATTAACGCCGCAATTGATCTGATCAAAATTGTGCCTTGACAGATGCAGTAACGCGGATTTACGAGCCACAAGGTTGTAGGTTGGGATTCAAGGCCATTTAATTTTTATTTATTCATTCAACTATGAATTCTATATTTTTTAAGTTGTTTTTAATTAGTTGATTTTGACTCTGTTTAAACTCAAAAAATTTAATTTAACTAATATTAAAAAAAGCTGATATAAAATAAAACAAACGAATATAAAATAAAGTAAAATAAAAATATAAATCAATTAAAATAAAAAAAATTAAGTAACAATAAAAACAAAATTTTTGTTGGCAATAGCTCCAAACGAGGATCGAACCTGGGACCTGCAGGCTTGTAGTACGCAACCCTCACCACTCGGCTACCGCGGATGGAGTAGCTGGCTGCTTTGTTTGCGTATTTGTGTGCTCAGGGAGCGTAGAACACAAAGAAAAAGCAAAATTACTTAGCGTGAACTTTCATCTTGTCGTCGGTAATACAGTCACCGTATTAATGCAAATAAGTTCCTATTTAATTTTAATTGTATTCCTATCTGAATTAGTATGGTGACTGCATTACCGATGTAAAGGTATATGCCCATGCTAGTTTTGTACTTTCTCGGTATTCTACGCTCTCTGAGTTTTCATCAGTGTTGTCGTCGAATATTCGCTTGATCCGAGTTATGTTTGGGAATTAATTCTTGAACTTAATCCGGATCAACCGCAGTTAATTCCCGAGATAATTCCGAATTAAAGAGTTGATCCGGATTCACGCTGCCGTCTGTTTAAGCCGCAGGTCTTCCCGCTGGGCTATTTTCGTATTCTAGGTACGTGAAGTGAGAATTTGTGCATTTATTTACTTCTCAACAGAGCGCAAATAGCACACATAAAGTTTCAACTGTCCCTCTCTGCAGCTGTTTGGCACTAGTTCAGAGATAGTTGTGAAATGTGTAGGGCGGAACTAGCGCTTTAACAGACTGTCTCTAAATTTTACTGCAGGGTTTGTATGTATGGATGTGTGTTGTTCAGTAAACAAAAAATTACAAACATATATATATATACACACACACTTGCGCGCGCACACCACATTCGTACATATGTTTGTCTATTTATGTGGAAAATTGAAAGCACCAAACTGAAAGAAATTCTCAATTGCACACATTGATGCAGACGATGCCAAGGACAAGGCAGCTGAAACGCTATTTATTAGACTTCGTGCTTTGCCGACCGTCCGACCAACCGACCGAATTGATTCACAAAACTGACAAGGACGGGAAATCGGTTTGCTGAATCGTAGCAGCAGCAGCAGCAACAGCAGCAGCAGCGAAAATGGTAAGATGAAGAAGAGCAAAAAGAAGCAGCTGCAACTGTTGGTTGAATTGCTGCTGGCTGCCATTTGCAGCATCCGTTTTGGTTAACACACACGCATACATACATACATACATACATATGCACTTATGAATGTTGCATATATGTATGTAAACCGAATGGACTTAACTGACCTGCTTTCCCTGTGCGTTGCATAGCGCTTCGCCTTGACGGCTAATGATAATGCCGATGAAAGTTGCAATTGGGTGTAGTTGTTTCAATCGCCCTTTACTGTATGAGTGTTGTGCTGGGGGAAAAATGCGCCTAGTTGCAATGACAGAGCAGCTGTGTGCCATACATTCTACTTGATTCAATTACCTAAAGGGAGTGGCTGTTAGCAGTTTGCGCTTTTCTTAGGAATTTTATTGTTTTATTTGAAGTAACGTTTTTTGTAGACTTTAGCTTTCAATGGAGTCGAATTTACCGCGGCGAAAATTAGTAAAAAACGGACTATCGAAAAAATATCCAATTAAGCCAAATAAAAAAAAATTCTTTATAAAAATGCTTATTTACAGTTATGGGACGAACGTAAAGTAGATACAATGTAAAAAATAAATTTGTGAAAAAAAGTTTTATTTTGTCGCATTTAATTTAGCTTAATTTTTCTACTAGTGTGTATAAACAATAAGCATATATGATTGATTGCCAGTTTGTTTTTAAATATATTTGTTGCCAAGCATTGCTTTAGATTTCGAAATTAAAAAATTACACTTGAAGATCTACATAATTTTGTGAGTATAAAATTTTTAGAGTGCTTACATTGAAAATGAATATTTTAAAAAGTCCAAGGAAGCGAGTTGAATTATTCTTAGGAAATGTAAGCATTAGGTATGCATGTCATATTTAAAATAGTTCCAGCTGCGAGAAACTGCAAGTTCAGCTCCCATTCTTCTCTTTCTGTAAAACTTATTGAATTTTTAGTGTAAATATTACTAAAAGCGGACAGCGCCCTGATGTGTACATAAAACAAATAATAGGCAACATAAAATAGAAATGCTAGAAGGTGCGGACATTTATGACTATTTATAATCGGATTTAATAATCGGATTCATCATTCAGTGGACGCGTCTTTGGACGAGATCCGTTTGCGATGGTTTTTGCCATCCTGCTTGCCCTAGCTCAGCTTTTGTATATCCTTTGCTTCCTACATCAAAATATTGATTTTCATAAAAAGTAGAACTTTTCACTATAAGCTAGCGATATATGAAATATGTTGGTTTACAGCAAAAATGATCTATGGATGCCACTATTCAATTCCTATGTAGAATTGCTCGGTGATTCCGAAAATCGAGTTAATTTTTTTTCTAGGTTTTCGAGATATTTTCAATTTACCGTTATTCAGCTTAAAGCAAAAATTGGTTCCTTTTAATCACGCATATCTTACGAATCAATTTAAAAATCTTAATATAAAAAACGGCAAATGAAAGCCAGTAAAATTCTCCATAAACCGTATATACATCACTTTCCGATAGGGCTTGTAGTTTCTGACAAATTAATTAATTATTCCAGCTTGTTTTTTAATGAAAAAATGAGTGAAATCAAACCTTAACAGAAGAAAAATTAAAAAAATAACAGGTTCCGTGCCAAATTTTTGCATTTGCGCTATAGCTTGTTCGGTTAAAAAAAAAAATCAAGTAACTAATGAAGAAAATCGATAGAAAAATAAGACATAATGATTGGTCAAATGAAAATAAGCAAAGATTTTTTGTATGAAAAAAGAGCAGGAAAGAAAGTTACTCATACGCCACGTACAGCTGAGTAACACGCTTTTCTGCTCATATTTCATACAAATAAATCGATTGTAAAACTTTAGCACGGTAGTGTAGACAAATTTGTAATCCCTAATGTTCAGTAATCTTCTCAGATTAAAATTAAAATCATTTCTTGGTCACTTTTCGAGAAAACTGTGATCTTATATAATTCATATACTGAAATGGAAGTTCTTATTTTTTTTACGCTCTTGACTTTTTAGCTTCCGTTATGGCTAAAAACTATCCCTTGAAAATTTGGTCCAAAAATATTAACATATAGAGGTTTCGCGTGGACATTTTGAGCCTCCACCTCAAGTGGTCAAAATTACTCTTCCTTCAATCCGTGCCTTTTACATTTTGATATATTACGAAAAAGTCTTAAAAAAAACGGTAAAAAAAACCGAATATCGCACTTTAAAAGCAGATTATTTCTTAGAAAAAAATTTTGCAAATTTATAGCCACGACATTGGCAAACAAAAGTAGTCATCGCAGATAACAGACTACGTTCATTTCGTTTGGAGATATTACGAAAAAAAACTTAAAAAAAAGAGAAAACAAATTAAATTTGCGTTTTAAAATTTGATTATTTCTTAGAAAAAATTTGCAACTTTTTAACACTACTACTCGCATTTGTAGCCACATTTTTCGCAAACAAAATGAGTCATCACAGAGAATATTACGTTCCTTATTTCTTGAGATATCGGTAAATTACCGAACTAGTACCTGGATGCCCAAAAATTTTCTAAAGATTTAAGCTTAGTATCCAGCTCTTAAGAAAACGGTCAAGAAAAAATTGCCATTACTTCGCGTGTGTGTCCAAGGAATTTTGACATTTTTTATACCTCACAGCCTGTTGCCTCACTCTTTCCTCAAGAAATAATGGAACGGGCATATATTTCTGTTGCAAACCTGGGTTGCCTTGTGCTCTTTTTTCACAAAAAACTTTAGAAAACCGTAGTAGAAAGCGTACTAAATTTCTGAAGAACTGCGTACTGCCTTAAGGAAATTTGACTCAAGAAAATTTCTTAGCCATTTCTTGTACGTCATTTTATATGGAGTTTTTGCTTTTCTTAAGAGCTGGATACTAAGCTTTAGATACGAAAGTTGAAATTTTGATGAAAATTTGTTGAATTGTCCTAAATATTGTAAAAAGTTGGAAACTGGTATTTTTATAGAAAAAAAATATTTAGCCCGAAAAACATACGAATATTTGAAAAAATTAACACGTGGTCGCTTGTTTGAGTCACTGTATGAAGACTTAACACTAAGGTCCAAGTTCATTTAGTGGTTTTGGAAAATTTTCAGACTGGGTAAGCCATTTTGAAGTTTTTAAATCTAACATCCAATTCGTAATCATCAACCCCTAAGAAGTGCGTTTTAAAGGGATTCACTGAAGTTGTAATTTTTTTTTTGGAAGTGATATCGAATAGGCCATTTTGAATTTACAACAAGGTCTGATACTAAATTAACAGTTCGTGACAACAAATTAAAAAAAAAAATTTCTTCCATATCGGATCCATCATATTGAATTTTTGAATTTTGAGTTTGTCTTCGCAATCAGCGATCACAAAAAAACACTGAGTAACAAGTTTTAAGCTAATTGGATCCATTTTCAAAATATCGTCCGAGATATATGATCTGCCAAAAACCACCGAGTGATAAGAATCGATTCACAACCTATATAATTTATAAGTTTTCCTTTCAATATAGGCTAGTACTTCGGTAGGCTTTTTGTTTATTTCGAATGGATTGAGTGTTATACCACCTAGGTGAGTGAGTCTGCGTCTGCGGAGATCAACACATTCATAAAGGATGTGTTCTGGCGTTTCTTCGTCCATCTCACAGAAGCGGCACACGCTCGTGTCTGAAATATTCATTTTTCTGAGGGGATAACGTAGGGAACAATATCCCGTGAAGTACCCAGTGAGAGTTCGAAGGTCCTCCCTGTCTAGATTTATGAGCTTTTTTGAAGCTTCTTGTGATGGATGGACATATTAACCGCTTAGCTTGTCTTTGCCCTGGACAATCACTTTAGAGCCTATGTAATATTTGTTCCACCCACTTGTTTATGACCTTCCTCACGTGTGCTTTGGTGGGGCCAAAAAAGCGTTCCGGGCAATGGAATACTGTGGTAACTGTACAAACCTATTCTTCTTTAATTTTTATTGCAGGAAGTTCGAGTATAGAAATTCTGTTTTGGCCCTAAATCAAACCAACTTGCAACACCGTGGCGTATGAGTAATTTTTTGTCTTACTTATTTAGACATTCAAGCGGTAATTGTAGTTATGTGAATAGAGTTATAAAATTTATTAAAAAACTAAATAAACATTTATGAAACACCTCAGAAGACACAAAAATAACGTGCTAATCACGAGGAAACCCAGTTGACTGGGAAGTAAAAGGATCAGACGTCCAGCAAGGCAGTTACTTAGAGCTGCTAGCCATTCTCAAATCACAAATCCAATATTGCAGTTTCTAATGAAGACCTAAATAACGAAAACATGAAGGATACTAAGCCCTTTATTAAAACTGGATCTTTTGAAAGCTTTGTTTTAAATAGACTTGTGAATTGTAGTAGATACAAAGCCCTATCCGACGTTACTTTTTGTGAGAGATCCTGGCTGGTTATGGGGATATGTAAATTAGATGTGACAATATTAGACTCGTGAATTTGCGAACGATAAAAAGGCTTTAGTCTACCCTGGAGCTTATCTGAAAGTTGTTGAGAAGCAAGGTGCCTAATGGCCTAGGGTGCGATATTGGATAGCATTGGAGCCGTAGTAAAACTTGGAGGTGCTTCTAGGCTTTAATATTGGCTTAGACGTGCATATTTAAAATGTGATCAATCAGTATTTGTCAATCAGTAATTGTCTGATTGATTCAGTCTCTTTTTCGTCGTGGCAACTCCTGCAGTAGTGATTGTGACTGACCCAGAGGCGTTCTGCATTTCTTCCTATCAGGATATGTCGTGTGAGCAGGCCAATGGCCAGTGACATAACGCCTCTAATGAGAGTGAGAAATTCCCTCGATATCCGTATATTCGATTTTTGGCCACGTAAGCTTTGTTGTATTTCAGGTTTCAGTGCGCTTCAATCTGGTACCCGCTTCTTCAAGGAAATGTTCCCTTAGTAAAGCTTGCAGGAAGCGATTGACATACCTATCCTCTTCAAGGCTACCCCCTCTTGGAAGCTCGTCTGCCTTCTCACAAAGTACAAGCGAACTATTTCTAAATTTATAGTGAAAGAGTTAAACGCCATAAGGGCCGACTGGCTGTCTGACTATATGTATATATATTTTAGTAGTAGCGAAAACAGAGAGTTTTAGGCTGTCAACGGCATCTTGTTTGGCTGGAAAGACACTACAATGGTCCGGTAAACGGAAAGATAGTTGTATTCCCAATTGTTCCGAGTAGACGCCTCCTCCTACTCTGTTTTCTAATTTGGAACCGTCCATGTAGAATCCTATGGTAACTTAAGGTATCGGAATTCTTTAGATTCACGATTTTCTGCTTTGTATACCTATGCTATAATTTTTAGTAAAAACGAGCATTGGTACACAATAGTCCGTTGTGCTCCCTAATTACCGATTGATAAGAATTGTAGTGCGACCACACCGAGCCGCTTCCATCTCTGGGCTATGGTAGTCTTAGGCCAGCAGTCGCAGCATACTGCCTTCCCATATTATCTATAGGTAGGATGTTCATAATCGTATTCGTCGCCTCAGTAGGTGTTTCTAATGCAAATCACATCTGTTCTCTCAACGTTTTGCAACTGTCCACAACAACCTCATAGAGAGGTATGGGTCTCACCACGGCGGTGTATGTCCGGTGGACTAGTTCCGGGATCAAACCCCATTTTTGGCCGATTGCTCCTCTAAAACTATGTAGCGCAACGGTGGCCTTCCGCACCCACTCTTTGGTGTTTTGAATCCAGCTAATTTGTTTATCAAGGACTATGACCAGGTATTACGCGGATTCATTTGGTTTAAGCGTGGTCTGTTCTAGCCTCGGTTTTATTAAGGAGGGAATTTGGTACATTTTTGTATTAGTTCAAGTTCTCTTTTGCTTGGGCTTACACCCAAACCGTTATTTCTAGTCCAACTCTCTACTTTTTTAAATTTTACTACATATCATATGCATACTGTGACTGTTAGTGCATGATCATCTGCATACGCGATAACTTTGCAGCCACCCCCTTTCATGCCACACAGCAGCGTGTTTACCGCCGCGACCTATAGAAGAAGGTGCTCCTTCCTACGAATCCGGTCAACGAAACCCCCGACAGCTCCGCTCGAACCATCCAGCACCGCAGCATTCGGTTTTTAAGCTGAAATAAGCGCGATCCGATGCACAGAACTGTCAGCGCTTCCGTTATCGCGTCAGGCATGATGTTGTTAAAGGCGCCTTCGATAACTGGGAAAGGCTGCCAACATATATTCATTGATGTCTATTGATCTTTGTATTTTCTCCTTCTTAGGCCAGTGCCCTGAATGAAGATTTGCCTGCAGTTCTTACCACCAGGGCGGGTTTTCCCTACTGCAGTGCTTCTTTTTGGGGCAGCCTATGTCTAAAGGTAAAGTGCACATAATTTAAAAATTGGAGCGCCTATTAATTTTGTTTCGTAACCTTGATCAACCTGAACTTTGTAATGGAACAAGACTGGTAGTAAAAGAAAAGAAGACCAGTAAATTTAATGAAGCAACAGTAACTATTGGATACGACAAAGGAGAGCCTGCTTTCTGACAGAAATGTTTCCATTTGAATTTTTAAGCCTTCAATTTCCTCGAGGGCTTAGCTTAGAAGTACTTTAATGCAATTTCGAATTAAGTTAAAATACGCTCTTTGTAGGCAAATTCTTCAAAGAATGTGTTTTGGGTGCACAAATCAACACATAGCCAAAAATGACAACCAATCCGCTTGAAATGCTTTAGCGCATTTTTGGGCAACATACATACGTACGTAACGCAATTAGACTTGCAATCCGTTTGACGACGTATGTAGATTGTGAAAGGATTCGTAAAGGACACCTATGTAGTTTGTTAATTCGCTTTTGAGAATCGACTTATATAAAAACATACATACATTTGTACATGTGTACTTACCCAAATGCGCATGCAGTAACAACAAAAATGTTATATACATGATCCGTAGGTATACAATATACTGTTGCTTGGCGCTTTGTAAGCGTTTGGATAGGCAAGCGTGAATTATTTGGAGTGGAGCGCGGTTGGAGCGTATATGTGTGTTTGTGTGTGCCTGTGTGCGTGTGAACGCTGTTGCCCACGCTTAACTTCGTACGAGTATCTATATGTAACAAACCGCTTTTGAGCTTATGTTGTTGTTATTTCTATTTCGATTTGTAGTTGTTGTTTTTGCTGCTGTTTTTACTTGTCACTGCCGCTCTAAAAGTACCTTTAAACACACAAACGATCGCTTTCTCAACCGCGGCCCTTACTTCGTATGTACATATGTATGTGTGAACATGTGTGGGTGCGAGTTGGTTGCGAATTAATTTATGTTTTATATGGTTCTATTGCGTCTCGTCTAAGCTTTTTGCTATTATTACTGCTCTGGTCTTATGTGGATTTCGGCTATTTATTTTTATATTTTTTGTCCTTTTCTCTAGCGACTTTCTTCGTCTTGCGGTGTATTCGTCTTCTTCTTCTTTGACTTCTTATTCTATGTCTGCTTTGTCACTTCTTGTCTCTGTGTGTCGTCCTCGTTGGCGCTGAGTAGCTTTTATTGAGGAAAATGCGTGGGCGTTTGAGGAAAATTTTCGAGTTGCCTTTGTTGTTTCTGCTTTAGTTGGCGAAGCACAGCAATTTCGTTATGTTTCGTTTCGTTTGTGTCACAATCAGTCTCGTTAATGCGTGTTCTGATGTATTTTTGCCCGCTTGCTTACTGCTTCTTTTGACAGCTACGTTTTCTTTTGCTATAATATGCGTTTTATTTATATCTTAGAGTTTTAGTTAGTTTTATGTTTTATTATATTTTATATATATATTTTTTTTTCGTTTTTATGTTGTTCTGCGTGTAACTTCGGTATGGCTGCTGACTGCTTCGTTGCTGTAACTTCGCCTCTTGTTCGACTGACAGCTCAACCTCAGCGTAGTTTCCACACTCTCCGGATTGCCTTGCTACCCACTATTTGCTGGTTGTTTTTTTGTTGTTTGCGTCTGAGTTGTTGCTTTTTTGCGATTCGTAAATTACTAATTGGCGCCTTAGTTTGTGGCTTGGTGTACTTTTAGGCGTTGAATTTAATTTTTTTTTAATTTCCTTAAATTTGCTCTTTGAATTTGCGCTTTGCTGCCATTATTTTCGTAACTGTTTTCATATTTCTTTGCACTTTTTTTCAGTGTTCCTTCTTATTTTTGTACTGCTCTGTATTTCTATATTTAGTATGTTTATGGGTATGTGAATTTAGATGGGTTCGCCGACTTAGCACAGCTTGTGTATCGGCCAGAACCCCTTTCGTCTTCTCTTATAGCCACGTTTCATCGTTTTCTGAGATTTCGACGATGTCGCTCGGCCACTAAATCAGTTTTGCGCATTTTGCGTAGCTTTTTTTTTACACTTCTTTTCTATAGTTAATTAGGGTACTGGGTAAGCGTATGTTTTGGGGGATGCTAAGAGTCGATTAATCGTTTTTAAACAATTTTTTTAACAGTAAACTTTTTATGCTGAAAATAAGAAAAATATTTTTTTTATAAATTTTTTGTATTTTTTTCGAAAATTTGTGCCCTTTTTTGTGCTTATTATTGTTGCTGTTATTGCTGCTGGAGTAACAAGCATTTTGTGCTCAGTTATTGCTGTTGCTGTTTTGCTGTTAACGTTTTTTCTAAGCGTGAAGGGCGTGTGCCTGATTACACTACTTCAGCTGTTTGTTGTTGCCTCTGTCCAGCCGCTGTCTATGTGTAAGTGGCTGCGACTGCGTGTCTGTGTTCGTGGCATACACCGAAAATCAGGTTAAGGTGGAGCATTTAACAGCAACAACAAGTACGCAGACACTTTTGCTGATTTCGTTTTGAATTTTAATTTTTTTTTTTTAAGAAATTTCGGAAAACTTTGTCGTTAGCCCATTTTGAAACAGCACACTTTGTATTTTTCTGCACTTTTGCTTAAATATTTGCTGCTAATTCTATTTCAACCTTTCTTCACTAAAAACTATTTTCTTTTCTAATTTTTTTGTAAAATTTTCACACTGCTGCTGCTTTGTTACAGCTTCGCCTTCAGGATGTGTGCGTGTGTGTGTGTGTGTGTACGTGCGTACATAGTTCCTTCATTTTGTTCCAACTCTAACTAACACACACACACACCCGCACATTACACTTTTACTTATACTAAAAACACATACACACACACGCACAGCGAGCGACGGCGAATACGCCCACAGCCTATACATTGTCGGAGTAGCTGTCGTCGTGTCGGGCCACGGTCACGGAGTTAGCCAAGTCAGCTAAATTTACCAGCCAGCAGCCAGTAGCCAACAACTAACAGTTAAAAAAAAGCCAGGCTGGGCTGCCTCTGCCACATGCAATGTGTGTGAAGTCCTATGAAAATGCGTTGGAGTGTGAGCAGCTGTTTCTTTTTTTGCAATGAAAATTTCTTTGAAACTTCGCAGTTGGATGCATATTCATACATACAACAGGGAAAAATTTATGTATGTATAAGCGAACTTCAATGCGATTCACTTTTTAATTCACTAAAACTTCAATTCACTTCATTTCGTTGCACTACACACAACGCCACACTCCTCTCCACACAGTGGTGCTGGAGTTTTCTTGTTGGCCAGCCCACAGCGATAGAGAAAAGATTTTCACATGCAATTTTTTTCCTACATTTTTTTTTTTATATAAGATTTTCCTTATGCGCCTTACTTGCTATTTGCAATGCAATTTTTGCTAAACTTGACTTTTTCATTGATTTTGCAAATTTCACATATTTTCCTCACATTTTTCACTTATTTTTTTTTTTAAATTTCTTTCACTTGAGTTACAATAATTAGTTGAGTGGAGGTTGTGCACAGTATATGTACTTTGCTGCTTTGTGATGCGCTTTGCCAACCACCGAGCACCGTGCACAGCGCAGGAAAAATTGGTCGTCGTCGTCGAGACGAGGAAACGTACTCAAATAACGCGTAGAATCGCAGTAGCTCGCCACGGTAGCCAGGCATTTAAGACACAGTCAGCATTCGGCTATATTACAGGAATGTACCTACCTACACATACATTACATACATACATACATACATCCATACATGCATTGTATGTAACTACGAAGGCGCTTATGAGTAGATTGATATTTACGAGAGCACCACAGAGATTCATCTCTGGGGCTGCATAGTCACGTATACTGTAAATTGTTAAACCCCATACACACACACACACACACACACACACACACACACACACACCTGCACACCCTCACAAACACATATGCATAGCGAACAGTTAGAATCGCCAAATTTTCATGGATGCTGTTTTGTAGTGTGCACAGCATCACTGGCGAAAAAGAAGCTACAGCGCTTTTCTAAATGGCCTTGCGCATTGCCTTGCAATTGCTTGCAAAAGCTTTTGTACTCGTGAGTGCAAAGCTGCACTTCGTATGAGCGGCGTTTGTAAAAATAAGTGAGCGCAAAAGGGCGGTTTAGTTGCGAAGAGCTACATACATAGTACATACGTTGCGACAATGGCGTAGCTTATCAATTGGGTATATGTTGGCTGGCATGCATATTGTCTATAGTGGCTACGTTTGTAGGCGTTTAAGCACCTAGTCACCCACTTAGTGGCTGCCTGACTCACACTGACATTATTTGTTCTTGTTTTCGTACAAATTAGTGTACGATGGCTGTTCGAGGCTTCGCTGTGAATGCGATTACTGATGCGTTACAAAATTTAATTTTTCTTAAAAATCTAGTCAGACTGAGCCCAATTTGCCACACCAGACGACAACAGTTTTTTTCTGGTTGCAACTCTGATTTCGATAATTCTTTTTGCATCGGAAAGGTAGTGTCTCAGAGGTGGTCCCATACTAATCAGGTTTAGATCCGATCATTGGATCATGAAATATATATAGATATATATATAAATTTTTTTTAAGTCGTTTTTTTGCTAAAAATTACTTGTTTATATGCGAATTGAAATCGGTTTTTTTTCTAAAAACTACTTGTTTTTCAATTCATTTGGGAAGGATACCATACGGCGAATTAACTGATTTTTATTACATAGTTCTTTTATTTATTGACTTTTTTTCTTATGCATAAAAAAATCGAACAAGTCAAGGCACCTCAAGTTAAAAAATAAAAGGCTGGGGTGTACCGGGACACATGTTACTTTTAACGGTTGTAATACAGTTCGACACCGAACAGGTGCTTTGGACTATACACATACATACATAAACATATGTATGTATATCGCTATTTGCTCCAGGAGTCTCATAATGCTAAGAAAAAAATTTTTTTTTTCAAGTTAAGTATGCAGAAGTGACTTCCACCGCCGACAATTCGAATCACAAAAATATGTATTCTTGTTTTGATTCCTCGATCAAATAATAAAGTTATATTGTTTCGGATTTGGTACAATTTTCAATTTGGCTAATTCAAAATCACGGTACCCTGACTACTCCTTACACTTTACTTTACTCCCTTACTCGTTTTCCAAAAAGACCCTTTTCCCATTAGCATGGTTTTATAAGTGTTGAAAATTCAAAAATTTATACAAAATTAAAATCAACAAACAATCACTCTATTACTATTATCTATAAATAGATATATCTTATTTTTGTTTTTACTTTACAGCTCATTCGTAAATCACTACAAGTTTATGTAAGTAAGTGAGTCGGATGAGCTTTTTCTATTAACACAATTACAGTTCTCGTCTCTGACCTTTACATACAAAAATACTTAGCAACATGTGTACATATGTATGTACGTACATAAGTCATCCATAGGCAATCAAGTATACATACATTCATATGTATGTATGAATGTACATAAATACATATGTAGTTGAACTTAAATAAATAAATCGCATAAACAGCAGTCGCGTTTTTTATTTAAGTTGACAGCTTTGCCACTTTGCCTTGCTTATTCATTTCCACGGAAAATGAAAATGACAAATTTGTGGAGTACTATAATAAGTTGCCGGCTAATTGATTTTCTTTTCAACTGAGTAACTCCGATGAAACTGTTACAGTATTAAAGCTATATTAACGAGTTTTTTTACTAGCGTATCTTAAAGTGTTAATATATATCCTTAGTACCTTAGCGACAATCTTTGGCTGGTGTTAGGCATTAGGTTTCAGTTTGCTTGGAAAATTTTAAAATTTAAGACTCC